TGTACCTAAACTATCGACACAGTTTTGCCATCTTAACAGTAGCTTGTTTATGCCAGCAGTGAAGAACTTGGAGAGCAAGTGGCAATGAAATTGTAAAAGGCGTTTTCCATGGCTTGTTGAGAATTGAATATTTTCCTTGAAAGAAGTGGTCCAAAGCCTGGAAGAAATGGTAGTCAGCTGGTGCAAGGTCTGATAAATACAGTGGATGACAGAGAATTTCCAAGTCCAGCTTCTGTGGTTTGAGCAGCATTGTTTGTGTGACATGTGGTTGAGCATTGTCTTGCAAGAGAACTGGCCTGTCCCTATTAACCAATCTCGGCTGCTTAATCGAAAGCATCCTTATCATTTGATCCAAATGGTTGCAACAGACATCCTCTGCAATCAACTGACCAGGGTTCATGAAGCTTGTAGTGAATGATAACAGCACCGGACCACCAAACAGACACCATTAGCTTTTTGGGATGAATATTCAGTTTTGTATTGTGTTTTGGCACTTCATCTTTATCCAACCATTGAGCTGAATGCTTGTGATTGTCAAAAAGATCCATTTTTCATCACACCTAACAATATGGTATAGAAATGGTTCACCTTTATGTTATGACAGTAGAGAAAGGCAAGCTTCGAGACGATTTCTCTTCTGACACTAGTTTAATTCATGTGGTACCCATTTATTCAGCTTCTTTATCTTGGCCATTTGTTTCAAATGCCCAGTATTGTTGGAATAGTCACATCAAACCTTGTTGCTAATTCACGTGTAGGTTGAGATGGATTTGCTTCCACTACAACTTTCAGCTCATCATTATCCACGTTGGTCTCACGTAGCCAACATGGTTCATTTCCAAGATTAAAATCACCAGAATGGAACTTCTCAAACTATCAATGTACTGTGCGTTCATTAGCCACATCCTTCCCAAACACCTTGATATTTTGAGCTGTCTGTGCTGCACTGGTTCCACAATGGAAAATAATACTCGAAACACAAATTTTTTGCTTTATTTATGGTTTGAAAAGAAATTGCTCTAAAAAAATTTGAAAGATAATCACAAGCCAAAATGTGCATTTGCAAGACTGAGGATGCACCTTCACAATAAAAATAAAACAAGAAGTGTCAAAGTGAAATGTCAGAGATATCAACTGTCAAACTTAGTACTTAAGGAAATCGGACATTTCATATTTAATAACTTAATACATTATACATGTTATTATTTCTTCTTTATCAAGTTAGCTGACCAATTACCACTTCTTCAAATCTCAGTTCAAATATTACTTCCTCTTAGGTCTCCCAATTCTGAAAGGCAGTGTAAGAACTTGCTCCTCCACCATCAATATCTATAATTTATCTCTTTTTAGAGCACTTAAACATTGTAATTCATGATATTTATTTGCATGTCTTCCCATGTGAACCTTGAGGGCAAAAACTATGATCCTCCATTTGTAGCCCCAAGACCTAGCACACACAAGTGCTCAAAAAATGTATGAGCTGTATGAAGTAGTTAAACCTAGACCACATCTTTGCCATAAAATTATCTGTTTAATGAGCAAAAACACATCAATTAAACTAGAAGTATGCTACCTTCAAAAAAACTTCAAGGAATTTAGTTGATCACTTAACCTAAATGTATACCTCATTCAAATATTTACATATGGTAATGAGAAGAACATTGTCCTGGATAACCAAAACACTACTAGTCTTTAATTCACTATTCCTTTATTCTGGCTGCTGCAAAGATTTGTAGTTCCATTCTGATGGTTCTCAGTCACGTACTAAATCAGGGGTTGGTAAACTACTGGCTGCCTGTGTTTATAAATAAAGTTTTATTGGAACACAAACATGTTCTTTTGTTTATGTATTGTCTATGATTACTTCAAAGCTACAAGAGAATAGTTGAGCTATAGAGATCATATGGACCATAAACCTAAAATACTTACTATCTACCCTTTAAGTTTGCTGATTCCTGTTCCAGATAATTTAGATTTACAGACAAGGGACCACCACATTAACAAAGCAAATTAACATATGTAGATTTCGTTTTCTTTAGAAAGCCAAAAAAAAAAAAAACTTTAAAAGTATATTCAGTAGCAAAAATAATAAAACCATAAAAAATATCCTTTCAAAAAGTACTCTTTCATGACACATCAAGGCAGGCAAAGGGAATTAGAAATACGAGTTGAATATAAAACATCTGCATTCTAACAACTCCTGGAACTAGAAAAAGTTATTGAACAATTCTATTCCCATTACAAATTACATGTAATAAATAAAATTTTTTACTTATTGAAAGTTACTTATTGAAATTTGTGAGACTAAATTATAAACAGAAACTTAAAAATGTATTAGCATCTAATGTATTTCCTAACATAAAAAATAAAAGAATCAAGACCTATTTTAACAAGGATGTTTTCCATTAACAAGGACAAATTTTAGATGCATAAATATGCAAAACTTCGTTGATACTACTATAAAAACGTAAGAATAATTAAGGAAGGAACTCATTGACAAAGATTTAATGACTGATGATGGGTCAAATCTGAAAAGATGTAAGGACAAGGATTTTCACCAAAGTGTTGTCTGTAATAACGGGAAAACTGCAAACATCATATTATGTCCAGGTAGTCATTACTAGAAGATCAGTCAAATATATTGTCGTATCTAAGAAGGGAATTCAAAACAGACAAAACTGATGGATCTACACTTACTATCCTAAAGAGAGGCCTACCATATGTTGACAAGTAGATTACCAAGAATTTGGTAAAATATAATCGAATGTGTATAAAACTAAAACATGTAGGGTGCATGTAAGAAGGAAGGGGTACCCTGCATGTATTCAAGCACATAAAAAATATTTAGATAGAATGACAGACAAAAATGTTAAATTTGTGGCTATTGTTTAATGGTGATATAAAAAGTGGTTTGTTATTTTTTTCACATTTTGTTTTTTCCTTTCCTAGATTTTTCTGAATGAACTTTATCATCATCATTATTATTATTATTCACATAATTCTATTTCCATTGTCAAGGTAAAAAAATCAAGACTTACCCAACTAAAAGAAGAAGTGCACAAATCACAGCAAATCCCAAAGTGTACTTGAGTGCTGTTTTAATTTGCTAGATGCCAAGGAGAAAATAGTATATACCATTTAGCAAGCCCTTTAAAATATAAAATATTTTACAACAGCATAACAGTATTTTCACATCAAATACACATTTGTAGGCTACAGTGTAAAGTTTTGCTGAAAAAAAAAAAAACCTTAAAATTTAAAGAAAAATTAATGTGTATACCACACATCTTAAGTATCTCTGCAAAATACATGATATTTTCAAATCTTTTCAGTGGTTAGGCCCTTGTGAAAAGCAACACACCTAAGGTATAGTTCATTCTCCAGTGGGCATCTTTAGTACAATTATCAGAATATTTAATAAAATATTCCCCCAGAGAGCAATCAGAATCTACAATGCCCCTAATCCAATTCATCAAAATGGTTTATAACAATAATAAACACTTAATATACATGTTTGTATATACATATGCATACATATGTCTGTATATATTATATATACACACATATATACATGTATGTAAGTATACATGCACATATGTGTGTATA